AGGATTTTATGAATGGTCAGTTTTGTAAGCCTTAATTAAATCTCATTTTCAAAATTCTGTCTGTTAGGAAGATAACTCCAAGTTTAATCAACATGAAAGTGATTACCCATGAAAAACAATTAAGCAATAACTCCTCCCACCCAACAACAAGCCCTAGAAACCACACAGCTCTGCACACACAAACACGGCTATAGCTCTCCCTTAGCGATCTCCGCTCAACGTGCAATACAAACACAGTGATTTATTTTATGAATTCAGTTGGTGTTACAGCCAAGCAACAAGTGGGAGAATAAAAGTATCAGAGAAGGAAGAGGTTTCATCATTACCAAATCCTGCCACACAGATGTTACCATTAGAAGGAACTGTGTGTCCTCCCAATAAAATTTTACCCACTCTGAACAAGGGCTGAACGACACAGACAACAGCGATGTGCAGGAGGCATCACTAACCGTCGTGTGGGTATTTGCTAATGACTAAAACAGACCTCCTTAACCACTGGTGTTGTACAGCACAGCTGTTTCAAAAAGGGAAAACTATACACAGGTTTCAAAAGAAACTTCTCTGGAAAAAAACTCCTGAGGGGAGTACCAGAAGAAAGAAGAGGTCTGCTGTAAAACAAAGCCTAAAGAGTTATCTCTGAACACAAAACACTGAGAAGACCATTGCTTCTCACAGCAACAGAAAGGAACTCCTTCCCTGAAGCAGATGGGCAGATCTACCTGTAGACCACTCGACTCTTCTTGTAGGTTACTGCTCCTTGGAGCCTGCCATTTCAAAGCCCCTCTTCTCTAAATACATATAACCTCAGGAGAGGGGTAAAGCAAAGGAAAATTACTTCCAGAGGGAAATACCATGCCCTGGGAAAACTTTCTGCCTCACCAGATGAGCGCAAGACACCAGACTTAGAAATAAATGTGTTGATTCCCCTCCTCGGCAGCCTGTGCCATGTGATGAGGGGAAAAGCAGCTTTTGATTTTGGATGCAACATTCCCCTTTTAGTGATTTGGGGCACAGCTGACCAAAAGGACAGCAACATACTTATCATACCATTTCCATATATGACAAAAGCTTGATCACCTACGCTGTATGTAAGGGTTTTTTTCTTTTCAAGATGTATACACTGTCTAGTTATTTACCTACTTACATCACTCATAAAAGGTCAACAGTCTTAATGTGTGAGGCCAGCAGCAAAGAAAAGGCTGCAAATACCAGATCTCTTTAGCCCACAGCTATTAAAATCCAGACCAGCATAAAAAGTGTGTAAGCACAGATACTGTCTTTTAGGGAAGGAGTATTTAGAATAACATTTTATCTTTAAAACAAACAAAATATAATAATCTGTGACAGTGTTCTGTGGTTAGTATTTATTAATATTCATACTCTAATTTATAGCAATACATAACAGCCAGGAGATTCCAAAAGGTAATAAAATGTCAAAAAGCATTTTTATACTTGTTTTAACCATTTTCTTACTTTCTCTTTGCTTGAGAAAGCTGAAACAGAAACAAGAAAATATCAAATCACCGTCACTCCATCCAGTTCGTCTCCATTTTTCTGCTCGTCTGTACCCTTTTAAAATTCAAAAGTACTGCAATGTCTCCAATAGTCATCACTATGTCACCTCTTCTGCTATGGACTAAGCTAAGTAAGGTAAGCCAGGTCGTTATCCGTTCACCTGGCTGTATTACGTTCCCTGCCTTAAGTTCTAATCCTCTTATTACTTATTTTTCTAATTCATTACTCACTTCCTCTGACAGATGTAAAATACTGATATTACCATTCAAAATGAACACCGTAACACTAGACTTTGCGGCGTTCTCCATTCTCGCAATAGTTAGCCCATGACAGTGCCATGAACAAGACAAATAAGCAATGACAAGATCTGGGGAAAAAACCAAAACAATCCCAAACCAAACCCTTTCTCTTCATTCACTTTTGCAAAACTGAATCAAAATCCCACGCACTGTCATCTCTGAACAGACAAGGATCCCCACTGGTAAGAGTTACAGGTAAAGCTCATGACAACACACATACAGCTTCTACAGAAACAATTTTCAAAGACTGTATACAAGAATACAGATGGGATCACACCAATAAAAGAGGTGCTGTAGGGAACAAGCATTTAAAAAAAAAACATTTCCAATTTGAACTCTAATTGGATTAAGTTAGCTTGAAGCTTTAAATAAAAATCTATTTAAACAAATGTTTTCTTGCTAAATAACCTAAACAAACACATTGCACCACTGATCTTAAGGGAAATGCGGGCAGGGAAGAGAGATATTTCACCATCCCAACTGCTGCTTGATTTTTTTTAAAGGGTTTGTTTCAACATGTCACAGTCAAACAAGTCAAACCTGCACTCACTCCCACTCTTTTCTAACACAAAAAACATTTAAGTACAGTTATATTTTATGAAGTAGCTCCTTATTTGATTGACAAGAAGCACAATCTCTCGCAAAATAAATTAACGTCTCAATACAATATATTCTCTGAAGGCCCTTCTCATTCCTCTTTAAGGCTTTTCCCTTCAGATTTCCCTGGCATCATCTCTTTTGAGATCTTTTGGATCAAAACCCTATTTTCCAATATTATTTACACTAATCAGATGGTTCCAAAACAATAAAAAGAAAGTTTGAGAAACTGTATGCCAAGCTCTGCGAAGTTAATTTGAATCACACAACTGGTAGAGAGCTATGCATCCACAATGAAATCCAGCATGCTAAAAACCTTTTCAGAAGTAAATCTTTTCTGAAGTAAACTTTTTGCTGCAAATAATTTTCAAGTATAGTACCATTTTTTTCCAAAATTAAGTTTAAAAATTATCTTAACCTATATTTAACTTAAATATATCACCCAAACTATTAAAAAAGACAGACACCAACCCCTTTTCTTTTTGTATGTCCCTTTTACTTTCAAAAAAATACTGACTTAAATGCTATTTTATAGAAGGATTATAAACCTATACAAGATAAAAGAATTACTACCTTCTACTGAACAGCTAGAATATTTACAAAGCACTTAAGTGCAACTCAGTAACTAGGGAATTTTAGGGGCACGTTATATGAGCCTCTGTGACTATCATTCAACATCACTGAGCCAAGATAAGCATACACACCCACGAGTTTTATTCTTGAGGGGAAAAAAAAAAAAAAGAAGAATATTTTTGAATGTATATCCACAACAAACCCCACTTACTCACACTTGAGTGCATGCAATGCAATACACAACACAAGTTGCCAAGGAATTGCACATTGATCTTGCCAGCATACAGACCTGCTCAACTTAGTAAGCATGTCAAAATTCTATATATAGGTGCAAAGGAACATTAGCCCAAGTAAAACAAAACTACAGCTAAAAATTGCATGTAGGCAACTGAATAAGCACAACAACGTTATGTCTAATGAGCCATCTGAAACAGAAAAAACAATTTGAAACTAGTTAGTGGAGAATGAAGTACTACAATAGGACCACCCAGCCTGGCTTTCTACAGCCTCTCCCTTTATCAGTTCTTGGGGAGGGAGGAGGGAGACATGGCAACAGCTCACAATAATCTGTAAATGCTTCAATAAAAAAAAAAAGCCAAAATACATAAGGAACTATTCTCAGACCATGCATCTTCAGTATCTGCTGAATTATGAAGTTGTACAGAACAGCTGTACAGAACATTTGCACTCGTCTAGAACTCACAGAATTCACCCCACCTTGTCAAGACGTGCCCCTTTTTGTCCTGAGGGGCCCAAAAATACAGCTATTACACCAAAATGAACTCTCAAGTTACTTAATGTCTTATTTCCTCTCATGCACATTTTTGTATAATGTGGGCATGCATCAATCCATATGGTTTCTCAATTTAGTTTTCTGTTGATGAACTCTGTGTAGTTTTTAAAGCCTTAGCTGCAGTTTGTAATTAAGTAATAGAGAAATGCAGGTGACGAATTAGAATATTTTATATGAGCACTGTACATGAAGTGTTCTTGTTTACAAGCTACAGTCAAAAAATAGATTTTTCTGTTATGAACTCCAACCACTGATTTCATCAAGCCTAGAACTGCACTGCACAAGTTTTCACTTCCAACATGAATAGCTGTAAAATATTTAAAGTTTTCTTCAAATTACTCATTGTCCTAGTTTACTACCTTTTTACTGAATTGGCAGATAGGCAATACACAGGACATACTATTGCCAATGATGCAAAGCAGAACTGAAAAAGGTCTTCAATCAAGACAAGTTCAGATTATAAAGAACACAAGAGGACCTCAGATTCTACATATCAATAGCTTAAATGTCATGCAGATTGGATAACTATACGAAGAAAGGATTTAAAAAAAAAAAATCAAAAATATACATCCATTTGATGCCAACGTAGAATGCAACCATGTACCAAAATCACTAAATACATATCTGGTATCACCTTAAACATTTAAGCATCCTGTCACTCACTAACTCCAGAAGTTCACTGAAGTCCACAGCTGCTGAAGGCACTCAATAAGAATGAAATTCATAAGAACTAGGCAAAATATTTACAAGTGCTGGAGAAAAACAGAGGCATTTACATAATCTTTGGCAACAAGATATTAAGTATGGCACTTCTAGTACACTGTCCAGCTGCTTACAGAAAAAAACCCATCATGTTAGGAAGGCAGGAAAGGAATCCTGATCGAGCAACTGAAAGCTAATTTTATTTTTCTTTTTTCCTTTTTGAAAGTCTCAGAGGTCTCAAAATAACAGTCAGTGATGACTTCAAAGTACAACATAAAACATACTTCTAGAAAAAAATAACACTATAAAAAATTTCAAAGCAAGTATTCATGTTTAAAATGGTAACCAACCACCTCCTTAGTATGGCCTACATTCTTAAATGTTCATAAATTCATAAATCCTTATTTTTTCTAAATTATTCTTATTAGTTATCTGGAAGAATAATTATTTAAGCCATTAACTTTAATAAATGCTAAAACCTTGTTCCATTAAAAGTTAAAAACAAAGTAAAAGACACCTACCTGTAATACCGAGATTGTAAATAGGTTGAACAAATAGTCTTTGATACATGGCTGGCAGACCCAAAGTCTATTACTTTAACCCGGTAAGGCTGCCGAACAGGATCCACCAACATAATGTTCTCTGGTTTGAGGTCAGCATGAATTAAACCCAGACTTTTTAGTTTTTTCAGTGCAGTGGCCACCTGTTGCAGAATAGGCCGTATTACTTTCAGTTGCAGAGGGCTGAATTTGTTTTGTTTCAGGAAGTCGTATAAATTCTGTTCCAACATCTCAAAAACCAGACAAGTATGGTTACGATGCTGAAAGCATTCATAGGCTCTTACAAAGTTAAATTCATCAGCATTTTCAGTACTTAGTCTCGCTAATATGCTCACTTCTATTTGTCCTTGGCGTGCATACGAAGGATGATTCTTCAAGATTTTGATTGCCACTATCTCATTTGTCCCCCTTTTCCAGCACTTCACTACTTGTCCAAAGGTCCCTCGCCCAAGGAAATCAAGAACCTCGTAAGTGTTTTTCACAGAGCACAATACCTCATGCTGTACTAACTGGTAATCTCCATCTCCGCTTGTACCACTTTGTTTTGAAGTTGCAGCTGTTGTTACAACCGTCACTGGGTTTCCTACATTGGTTTGCAACATTGCAGGCAGGATGGACAGTTCATCAACAATCTGCATCGTGCTGTTTTGATTATCAAGCTCTTCACTCTTACGCTTCAATCCACATCGCTGGGGTCCTTCCAGGATATCTGATGAGCTTCCTTGTGTCCCAGTCCGAGGTGCCTCCAACTGAGCTTGCTGCGCCCGCGCTGCTAACGCTTTTGTAGCACCTGCAATATTTTTTAAAGCAACAGCATTTGACTGCAACAAAAAGTTCTGTCCTCGAGGTCTGTCAAATGGGTTTTTAGTCTGAAAGTACGTACTAACCCTGTGGGGAGAAATTCCAAAGTTTTTACCATTCACATAGATTTGCGGGTAGGTTCGTTCGTGGTACACACAACTGCTTGGTTCTAGTTTGAGTTTCTTCACACTACAAAAGGCACTTGACTGGGTTTGATAAACATATGGTGGATAGACCAAGACTTGTGAGGCCATACCTACAGAGGAAGAGAAAGAGAAAAAGCGAGTGAGAATCTTGCATTCACATTTCCAAGCTTTGTAGCAGCTTCCTCCTCTAAAAAAAAAATAAAGATCAGGACATGAGTATATTTTCCAAACAAGCCAGCCTAAAGTTATTTAATATTTAGTTTCTCATGGCCAACAGCAAGGTCCTCATGCCTTACCACCAGCGCACACTCTGCAGTACACAAGGACTGTGGCAGCAGCAGGTTACAGCAGGAGTGTTTTTGCTGGTTGCACAGGGCAGGACTGAGGCAGTCTGCAGCAGGCCACTACTCGTAGTTTTTCTTTGTGCTATTAAAAACTCAGCTTTTATTTAAAAACTCCCAGCATTTCTACGTACAAAAGTACCATAGTGTTCAGTAATGTAAGTTAAATAACCAATTCAAATATTTATCAATGATGACGTAAAAAAACATAATAGCTCTTAATTGTGAGCTGACACAACCTGTTACACAAGGTATCTGACCTACTCATCGTAAACACCATCGGGCTTTTGAGAACAGATGGACAAATGACACGACTGTCGCTGCTTCAACAATTTCACCATGATGAAAGCAAGAGTGATCAGGCTGTATGATGGGGCCCAAAATACCTCAGGGGCATGTGTACATTCATATAAACAACTGCAGCTCTCCGAGTAAATTAACACATAATCTCACCCAGTCATGACAGGCAAGTGCTTTCTCTAAGTTGTATACTTGCCCATTGCAGAAGTTTGCATATCAGTGATACAGTGGTGGGGGTAGAGGCACCAATTTTTCTTCCCCTCTTCAATTCAAATTTGGAAACTAAGTATTAGCCTCATACTTTCAGATATGCCAATTTCATGAGTTGCACCATCGGAATCCTGCACTCTAAGGTAACCTGTTAAATTAACTGATATTCTACAGACCTATAAAATATGACCTAGGTAACTTCTGAAAACTGGGCTGATAATTGTAGATGGAGAAATTACAAGGACAGACTTCTCACAGAAAATTTATTTTCAAGTGAATGTGAAAGGAAGAAAAATAATGTATTTTCTATATTCTGTACATATTTTTTCTTATCTTTTTAAACTTTTTTTTTTCCTGACAACACAATTACTTCCTTGCTAAGAGAGAAATGAAAGTTAGAATAAAAGACTATGGATTATTTTAACTTTTGAATTCCCAGTAAGGCTGAGATGAAAATTTCAACCTGAATGACTATGTTCCTTGAACTGATCACATTTTCAAAAGGCTACACCTGTACAGCCTCTCAGAACGAAAACTTGCACCTTAGAAATAGGTAATGGAGAACAGTTTTGCCCAAGAGGAGGCAGTTTGCCAGTTCAGAAAGTCCCCGAGCACAGCAGCCCCGTCCTGCACAGCCCGTGTGACGGTGCAGGATCAGTCCCACTGCACCCCCAAATTCACTCTGACTCGGGACACTAGCTCGGCAGAAAGCAGAGCCACAAGATCGTCCAGGGTCACACTCCACGCTGTACCTCCCTTTCCCAGACACGAAGCAGAACGTGCCTGCACCGGAGGGAGGAGGACAATGGCAGTGGTATCAGGCCTGCACGCAGGACAAGGAATCTCAATTCTGCTTTAAAATGCACAGGCCCCATCTCTCAGATGCTGCACCTTCCAGCTCCCGTCTCCACGCTGACCCTGCTGTCTCCCCTTCCAGATCCATCAAACACCAGCCTTCAACTTTTATGTCACATAATGCTAAACAAGAAAAAGGCACTGGATGGACCCCAGTGTGAATGACTACAAGGTTTCAATGAAGTTATGGCTTGTATCAGTCCCATCAGCTCTCAGAGCCAAACTCACTAATATCAATAATACTTTAATTAAATCACTTTTACATACCAAGTGCATGTAGATTTCGGCAATAGGTATTTAAATGGTAGATGAGTCACATAAAATTGAGCCAGACATTGCAATGACTGATCAAACGAAAACTAACCAAACGCATGGCATAATTATTCTGAAGCTGTGATTTGATTTATGGAAATTAGCTTTAAACATCTTAAGACTGATTAAAATAATCATACCATCACCTCAGTTTAGCATTCGAAAATGATTTTTGCCTCAGCATTAGAAGAAAACTTCAAAGGCCTTTCCTTTCCAAAGCTGTTAGCCCAGAGCCAGATGATATAGAAAGCCAGGCTCTCCTGCCACCCAACATTATGGGACAGCCACCAGCCTCCTGCTCCATGCCAAGTATTTAAGACGTTCAACCTCAAAACACAGGCAAAAATTCTTCAAGTTCTTGAATTCTCTCCTAAATAACATGCCCCATTACAAAGTGCCTGGTGCACAGCATAAGCATATTACTGACTACGGGACTCACTCTCTTTGCTGTAATAGTTATATTGAAAGGAATCATTTATCTTAACCACATTACTTAGAGCTCCAAAATCACCCCTCACCGACCACCCTGGAACACACACATGTCTAAGCCTACTTGGAGCTTCCCTTGCCACCTGCTCAGCTCAGGCCAAGTCAAACCTCCCGTCAGAGCCCAGCTCTTCTGGGACAAGTCAAATACCAGATTTGCCACAATTACTCCAAAGACACTAAAGTTTCCAAATAATATGTTTTTCTTAAAATCTTTTCAAGGCTCCTGTCAAAAATCCCCACTTACACCTCTTTCACACACATATGCCCAGGAGAAATAAAACATTCAACCTCACACAACTTTTACACTGTCCCTCTTTTCAAAGTAACGCCACTGCGTTATCCCACAAAGTTTGCAGACAGGAGAGTTCAGATGCCCAGTGACATCTCCATAACTCAGAGTCTCATGTAGATGACAAATCTAAATGCCAAGCAGACGCAGCAGCATGGCTACACCACTTAGTTCCTGGGCAAAACCAGGTCCGGCTGCGCTGCCCGACAGAAGGAGCCTGGACACCCGACCCTCAGGCGAGAGGTCTGTCAAGCTGCAGCAGCCCGGGGGATCCATCTGCCTCGGATCTGCCGTAACCAAACATCAAGCGTCTTGCTTGGTTTAACTTCTGGAGAAGGTATCTGTCCGTGTAAGCATGTCACCAAAACTGACAGCGGGGAATCAAGATGATTACTTTGAAATAGCAGTGATAAATCTTCACTGCAAGTAGGGAGGTTTTCTGAAGACAGGACAACAACCCAGTGCGGGGCGCACAGGAGGTGGGGAGGACAGTTCTCCAGCATGGCCAGAGGACCATCCTTGCCTGAGCCCACTGGTGTTCAAAAACATACATGTTTTCTATAGCTCATGCTATTCAAACGAGTGCAGAAGGACTGGAAGCACGTAGTCACAGCTTTCTCCTTAACATTTAGTTCAGCTGGATGAGACAAACTAGGCTCTTTGTCATACTTGGGGGTTTTTGAACTTCTTACAAGCTTAGTTCCATGACCCTGAACTCCAACCATATTAACAGTTCTGTTCTCAGATAAGAAGTGTTTACTGAGTTATTATGAGAACATTTCTAGCAACTCCAAGAAAAGAAAAATTAAGCACTAAATCAAACAGATTACATACCCTGGAAGAACAACCTTTGATGCAATCATGAGAGACTGAACAAAAAAAGTCAAAATTTACTCCAGAAAAGTGAAAATAGTCTTAGACTTATTGTACAAGCATTTGATTTCTTAGCTCCACCTAAACACTTCTCCCTTACTCCCATAATTTTCAGGTTTTTTTGTTGGTTTTGTTGTGCGGGGGTTTTTTACGCATATAATCTGAGATACAATCTCATTTGGAGAAGCTACAGTATCTTTATATAACCAATAAATAAAACACTTTTACAGGTCTTTCCGTAAAACAGGCACATTAAAACTCCTGGAGGATCCTACACCTGACACTGCTTAAAGCCCTCTGCCATGCACTCGTAGGCAGTGCTCGGATGTTTCAGACAGAAGCACACTCTTTACTATACATTAACATATATGCAATGAAATACACCAGAAGAGCATGTAACATCCAACACAACCAGCTGCCAAATAAATTTAGAGAAGCTAAGTTTATTAATAGAATTGATTCCCCCTGTCCCCCAGGTGAAAACCCAGCCCCACACCGAGAGAGCAGAGCTGCACAACAAACATTAAAGAGAAAGGGAAAATACCATGACACCCTCTACTCTAACAGCACTGCTGTTTGGGGGCTTTTCTCTTGGCTTGGAGGGGTTTGTTTGTGGTTGGAATTGTGGTGGTGGTTTCTTCTGGGGGAAGATTTTTCCTGTTTGGCAACTTTTTGGGGTTTTGTTGGTTTTCAGTTTGGTTTTTTGTGGGTGTTTTAGTTTTGTCTTTACTATTTTGAGGGATTCAGGTTGCAATATAGATAGATACATTGGAAAGAGTAAAGAGTTAATGTGTTGCAGGGTTGGGTTTTTTTAAGCAGCTCTTCTGGTTGAAGATAATATATAATGCACACTGTACCACAGAGTGGATCTTCCTCCCCAGCTTTGTCACAAATCATTTCCCTGATCTTATCCATCTTTCTGCACATTTCTTATTGAGACTCCTGCTTCCTTGTACAAACTGAAGCTTGTTAATGTAGATATAGTCTGACAAGTCCAGCAGCACAGTAAGACAGGGATGTGTAAAGCAAAGCAGCTGGTGCTAAAGGAAAAAAAAATTCATTCTGTGCTCATTTCAGGAATGTTACTTGAGCCTGAACACTCATAAGCAGCTGATGTACATTTTCCCATTAAATTTAATTTAAAACAAAATCCAAATGTGTGCATTACAAGACCACTCCAGGATGCAAACCAAAGCAGAGTAAATAAATCCATCAGAAGATGGGCTGAAGAGCACAAGCCCAGGTGAAGTACCAGACACAGCCTCCGGCTACTCAAATAGCTTCAGACTTATCTTCAGTTTTAGTCTCAGAGAAGTCTGTGCATTCTCCCTACACACGTTTTTAAAGGCTCTTCTCCTTCCCCAAGTGCAGGATGACCATCATAACTTCACTCTAGCGCAGTGACCACTCCTGGGCAGTGGCACACACAAGCTGAAGTT